AGTGTCTTTTACAGCCTGCAGGCAGTGACTGGAATGGGCAGGACACAGAAAACTGCTCTGTGAGGTCTCACTCAACCCCAGAGAAATTAATTCATGGTGGGACAAGCATGAGCCTGCTAAACAAGGCTGTGAATCCGGGAAGGCTAGAATCCATGGCTATCATAATCCGAGCGGCGGAAATATTAATCTAGGCGCATGTGGGGTAAGGTATTATTTGAGGGGCTAGTTTATATAATTAAACTGTGTAACTTCAATAATGAACAGCCACAAAATAATTTCACTTTGTTCAAATAATTATATTGAAATAATTTCAATTCAATTGCCCCAATAAATAGTAAGATATGAGTACACATATAGATGGGCTTTTCTTTAAAAATGAAATTTAGTATTTTAGAGACAATAAAGAACGGTGATTATCTGTTGAATTAGATATGCACGAAATACGGTAAAATATCAAAGAGAAATCGAAAAATGAAAAAACTCCTTCAGCTTGCTTCACAATCACCCTAGAAACTAGGAGAGGAACTGTGGGATGCAAGCTGGCAGTCAAAAGGCTGCTTGGTATACTCTGTGATGTTTTATTATAAAATCAACTCATACTCTCTCAGCTGTCAAATGTATGCCTCTGGTATGCACCCCAGTTGAAAGCAGCACCTTTCTTTGGTGAGGTTTTACTATCCTTTTTGCTCTGGTGAGTTATCGGCCTGCCATTTGGATCTCTGACCCCAGGGATCGCCAAGAAGACCATGTTCTGCATTTGTCATGGCTTTCTGGAAAGCTGGCCTCTGCAGCGACACGGTGGTTGTGTCGGTGGTGTGGCGTGTACATGCACTGTGCTAGTCCTCAGTGCAGCTTCACAGTAAGCATATCCTTGAAAGTTGTTGGCCAGGAGCAACCTCCCTGGCTGGGCTATGGTTTAGATATGGTTTGGGTTTACCCTCTTGTGTGTTAAAAGCTTATCCTTGGGTGGCAATGTTGGGAGACGGTGGGCCTCTCTAAAACTGTGAGCCAAAAGAAACCATGTCTCCTTATAAGAAAATTAACTGGGAAATTTCATCATAATGATGCAAAGTTGATTAGTACACTGAATAAAGGGTACAAATAATAATAGTTTACATGGCTACGTCTCACACTAGGTGGTGGGTTTGGAGCCGGAGAGATGGTTTAGTAGTTAAGGGTCCTTGCAGCCTTGCAGAGGACTTGAGTTTGGTACCCAGCACCCATATGGAAGTTTACAACTTCCATTCCCAGGGATTTAATGACCTCTTCTGACCTCCACAGGCACCAAGCATTCAAGTGCTGCACAACCATACATACAGGAAAAACACTCATACACATAAAATAAAAGGGGCAGGTTTTCTTTACCCAGCCTTGAAATATAGCAAGCTTTCGCATTCCAGGCATAGAGTTCAGAAATGACGCTATGTGACTTTACAGACTGAGTTCCAAGGAGGCCCTGAAGCATCCCACCAAGCCCTGAGCAGTCATGTCAAGAAACTTGACTCAGACCTACAGCACGACCATGAAGATTCCTCCAGAGCATCCCAGTGCCAGCCATTGGGGTCACTCACCATCAGTTTCCCCACCAGACACTGACATCGTAGAGGTGGGTAGGGCAAGCTATTCCAGAGGCATGTTCAAATTCCTGGCTGTCAGGATCCACGGGCACACAGAATGTGTCCTTGTGATGCGCTGCCTAGCTGTGAGGAAGCTTGTTAGTAACACCCACTGATGACAGCAGCCAAGGTCACAGGGCTTCCTTAGGGAGAAAAGGGTTAAGTGCTGAACTGTACAGGAGATTCTATAGTAAGAGGTTGACTGCCTCTATAGGATGAGGTGGGCAGGGGCTGGCTTTATTTCCGCCTCTAGCACAAACTAGACAGGCATTTAATCTCTTGTGTCTTACTTTTCAAATTGGAATCTAATAATAGTTCCTGCCACAGAGTCATGAGCATGGAACCGGATGATGTATGACAGTACTTAGCAAAGTGCCTGTCACATAGTCAACATTCAATTAATAGTAGATATTCACACATTATAATATCATTAGCAAAGGCTCCCGGGCAGCTTTAAGTCAGGATACTTTTGCGAGTGTTAGGGGCTCTCAGAGAACAGAATGTTTGGCTGGCTCTTTTCTCTATGGACCGGCAATTTTTAAAATCCACATCTGGAAGCCGTACCCTGTCTGCCTTTAAAGTGACACCAAGCCACATTTCAGAGCTGTTCTTGCAAATTGATCCTAAAGAGCATGGGCGAAGGGACCTTTGGATCAACATGGCAGGGGTCCTCTCGGTCAACACACTCCACAGCTGACAGCAGCATTACAAAACAGGCTGGCACCATGGTTACCAGGCAGCCAGATGTATACACAGCTGCGTTCCCAGTAGCATCCGACCCTGCAAGTCAGGGCTGTCAAGGGTGACCAGGAGGCCTCACCCAAGTACATATGTAAATTCGGAGTAGGGACACCTTGCCACTCACAAGGAACACAATAGCCTACACAAGGCAGTGGACTGAAGTATTGGGTTTTTCTTCTTCTTCAGCAGTTTTCAGTAGAGGACACCGAGTGCCTGCTATGACTCCAACACTACTCTCAATCCACACATCGATTATGTCACTTTTTCGATGAGGACATTGAGGCCTGGAAGCCGGACTGGATAGTGCTCTGATCCGAGCCTCCCAGCTGGGCTATTATTAGCAGAGATGACCCCTCATCCACAGGGAAACTTTCCTTTCCTGAAAGTGGTGTGTGTGTGTGTGTGTGTGTGTGTGTGTGTGTGTGTGTGTGTGTGTGCTGGAGGGGGGGTGTTTTATGCTTTTTTGTTTTTTTTTTTCTGTTGTTGTTATTATTTTTAGAGTTGTCTGAACGCCTGTAGTGTAAAAGCGTTCTGTTTCAGGGCTGGCATTTGAAATCTGCCCTTTGAAAAGAATGTGAACCATTGTAACTCCAGTTCCAGGGGAATCCAACATCCCCTCAGGGCTTCTGAGGGCATTGCACTCTTGTGGTGATCAGACATACATGCAGGCAAAGCACCCATACACATAAAAGAATGGTAACCTTTTTTTTTTATGCCGATGTGTTTTTTTTTTAAATTTTTATTTATTTATTATAGATTTCTGACTAATGATAAACTTTTATAACCACAGAGGATTTGTTGAATTTAATCTACTTGAATTATATGTGAAATTGATGTCTGCACTCTGAGGACAGCCTGAGTGATATCACCTGGTTCTCCTTAGCTGTACAGTCAGCAGCACATACTGCCTGCACTGAGAGGTTCCAGCAGCGCCATTCTCTGAGACTAAAGGCTTCTCTGCCTCCCTTCAGAAGAATTTTGGCTATAAATGAATGACACATCTTATCAAATGCATTCTTTGCTTTTTTTTTATTGCTTTGATTCTAAACTAATTGCCTTTGTGATAATGGAAAGAAGCCTTTCACTCCCATCTAGCCATAGTTAATGTTTACAGCTGTCTCTATGTCATGCAGAGAACTTTATGTCAATTGGGGAGGTATCGATTTATGCCCATTAAGTTGGGTGTGTTAACCAATCTATAGTAGCACTAATAGTATGTTTGCTTGGTCTAATAATTACTGAAGCAGGGTTAAGAATATCCTAGGAACCTCATGAGACTGAGAAGCTTCTGTAAAGCAAAGGACACTGTTGCTAAGACAGAAAGGCAACCCACTGACTGGGAGAAGATCTTCACCAACCCCGCAACAGACAAAGGTCTGATCTCCAAAATATATAAAGAACTCAAGAAACTAGACTGTAAAAGGCTAAACAACCCAATTATAAAATGGGGCACTGAGCTGAACAGAGATCTCTCAACAGAAGAAGTTCAAATGGCCAAAAGACACCTAAGGTCATGCTCAACTTCCTTAGCGATCAGGGAAATGCAAATCAAGACAACTTTAAGATACCATCTTACACCTGTCAGAATGGCTAAAATCAAAAACACCAATGATAGCCTATGCTGGAGAGGTTGTGGAGAAAGGGGTACACTTATCCATTGCTGGTGGGAATGCAAACTTGTACAACCACTCTGGAAAGCAGTGTGGCGGTTTCTCAGAAAATTTGGGATCAACCTACCCATGGACCCAGCAATACCACTCTTGGGAATATACCCAAGAGAGGCCTTATCATGCAACAAAAATATATGCTCTACTATGTTCATAGCAGCATTGTTTGTAATAGCCAGAACCTGGAAACAACCTAGATGCCCCTCAATTGAAGAATGGATGAAGAAAGTATGGAATGTATACATATTAGAGTACTACTCAGCAGTAAAAAACAAGGACTATTTGAAGTTTGCAGGCAAATGGATGGAAATAGAAAACACTATCCTGAGTGAGGTAAGCCAGACCCAAAAAGAGGAACATGGGATGTACTCACTCATATTTGGTTTCTAGCCATAAATAAAGGACATTGAGCCTATAATTAGGGTTCTTAGAGAAGCTAAATAAGGAGAACCCAAAGAAAAACATATAGGCATCCTCCTGAACATTAACCTTCATCAGGCGATGAAAGAAGACAGAGACAGAGACCCACATTGGAGCACCGGACTGAAATCTCAAGGTCCAAAGCAGGAGCAGAAGGAGAGCGAACATGAGCAAGGAACGCAGGACTGCGAGGGGTGCACCCACACTGAGACAATGGAGATGCTCTATCGGGAACTCACCAAGGCCAGCTAACCTGGGTCTGAATAAGCCTGGGTTAAAACCGGTCTCACTGAACATAGAGGACAATGAGGACTACTGAGACATCAAGAACAATGGCAATGGGTTTTTGATCCTATTGCATGTATTGGCTTTGTGGGAGCCTAGGCTGTTTGGATGCTCACCTTACGAGACCTGGACAGAGGAGGGTTTTCCTTGGACTTCCCACGGGACAGGAGGGAGGGAGGGGGACATGATTGGGGGGGGGGGAGGGAAAGGGGAGGCGGAGGTGGGGAAGAGACAGAAATATTTAATAAATAAATTTAAAAAAAAAAAGAATATCCTAGGATTACAAAGGATTTCTTTACCTTTTTTTTCTTATACTTTCTCTAGTCTTTTGGTTTAGAGATTTACATTTGTATTTCCTGGGAGAAATTAAACCATTTTGAAGAGTTTCTCTTTATCTTTCACAATGAGTTTGACCTTAAAGCCTATCTTATCTGAAATGACGAATGCTGTTTTTGTTATTGTTGTAAGGCTGTACGTGTGCACAGGCATGTGTGTGCGCGCGCACACACACATTTGCTCGCGCGCGCGCGCACACACACACACACACACCTCAGTTTTACAACACTCAGATTCTGATTTTTTTTTAAAGATCTCATTCTTTTAAAATCTCTTTTGTGGGGGATGTAAGGAATCTTGAGTGAATGTGTCTTACAATGACACAGCCATATCAAGGGCCCCAATGCCTCAGACCTATGGAAATAACAAAGTCTTCCCTGGTAAGATTCATAGGGATGCCAAAGCCCTCCTCTGGTCCAAGTGTGAGTGTCGATGGTGTGTGCAGAAACTGTCAAGCACAGCTTCCTCTTCAGTGATGGCTGCAGCCTGAGACTGCTCCCTACAGAGACCTCCTGCCCAGATTAGCTATCCCTGCCTCCTTGGTCAGCTGTGGACCATAAAGCCCCCACTCCCACCTTGTTCATCTGTATACAACAAGTATGCCTTCTTGATGCAGATTATAAAATAAACACGCTGAGGTTCTGAGCTGCTGCTGCAGTTGGTGCCGCTATCACAGGGATCACAGTCCACCCCATACCAGCTTTTCCGTCTGTCTGTGTGTCCATCCTCTCTTCAGTCAAGTTTTCAGGACAGCACGCTCTTTGTTTCCATTCCTGTCACACTTTATTTCAGAATCCATCTGGGATGATGTCCCCTGCCCCGACACGATCTTGGGGGATTTCCTCATGTGCGGGCCAGCTGCGGCACTACTTTCCTGTGTCGGCTGCTGGAAACGCTCTTCCGCTTGCTTGCGTTTTACAAGAAGGGTGTCACTGCATTGGGAACTCTAGACTCTAAGTGCTTTGACTCTCGTCCTTTGACCAAAAACTTGTTTGTCAACAAAACAATTACTTCTTTGACTTTCATTTTCTGTTATTCCGGTCTGGTTTATCTAGACATGAGTTAATAATTAATTATATCTTCTGTTTGGCCTTCAAGTTCCATTGCAAGGACGCTTTTCCAGGTTTTGCCTGTACCCCAGGGCCTTCTCCTCTCCTTTCGAGATTAATGAATCATGCTGGAACTGCTCAAGTAACTTTCCAGTCTCACACCTCTCTTCTATTCCCCGCCCCCCGCCCTTCATCTCTCCAGTTGTGTTACATCTGGTTTCTGCAAACATAGCCTAAGTTTGCTAACAATCTCTTCCCCTGTGGATAAAACCATAATGTCTTAATTTCGACTATCATTTTTAGTTCTTTAATTTTAACATCTTGCTTTTTCATTCTGAAGATTTATTTTTATTTATGTGTATGAGCGTTTTGTCTATGTGTTTCTGGGTGTGCACCACATGTGTTCCTGGCGCCCAAGGAGCCCAAAAGAGAGTGTTAGATACTTGGAACTGGAGTAACAGACAGTTAGGAGCCACTTTGTGCTTTGTGGGAAGTGAACCTGGGTCCCTCGCGAAAACAGCAAGTACTTTTAGCTGCAGAGGGCCATCTCTCTAGTCCCCAACATCCTGATTTTAAAAAATAATTAATTTCTAGTTATTTGCTGATAACTTTATGTCTAATGTTTGAATTCCATGAGTATGGTGAAAATAATTGTTTTACAGCTGGTCAGATGCATTCCCATATAGCTGGTCTCTTTTGACTATAGAGAAGGTTTGTTGATTCTGGTACATATGCTTTGTCTTTCTAGGTGACCTGCAAACCCTCACTTGCGGTCCATCTTGTTTGAAAAGGGGTTATACACATACCATGAGGCATCAGACCCTGTCAGCTTCCTCCATTTCCTTCTGGGAGATTTCTGGAGGACCCAGCAGTTATTGAACTTAAGGCTCTTTGATTTCCACCTTTATCATGTTCTCTTCGCGTTACCCCCTAGCACAGGGTTGCCATGAGGATCTCCTGCCTTTGGTGGGAGCTCTACTTATTTTTCCTGCAGCCACAGGAACCTGCCACCGGTCTGCCTCACTGAGGTCTCTTTGGCTAATCCTTTTCATAGCAGAGCTGGTTGTAACGGAGCAGGCTGTCCACCTGGCCCCCTTGTCGGTCACCTAGACCCCGTGTAAATAGGCAAATGTCCTAGACAGAAAGGGTCCTGGCTCATCTCCCAAACTCCATCTCCTTGTTTCTGCTACTGCTTTATGTGACTGGTGGTGATGGATATCTCTAAAAATATGTTTTTATGGTTGTCTTTCTGTTTGTTTTCATCGTCTGATTTCCAGATGCCTTGAATTACCTAGACCATTGCTACCAGAAGCTAGCAACCTTTCGCACAAGGTTTGTTCTATTTTCTAATTATATTACTGCCAATTAAAATATAATATATATGAAAATTAAAATACTTTATCTTAAAACCAGAAAATTTAGCAACCTTGATGTTATATATTAATATAACTGGAGAGGGGTTGGTGTTTCCCAAATTTTTACCCCACCCTACTGTCTTAAACACCCCAGTAGATACTCAGGGCCTGTGTTGGTGGGTTTCTGAGTTTTTTTTACCATGAAAAGCAACAATGGAACAGAGACAGTAAAATAATGCCAGTATGAGTGAGAGAGCATGGATTATACCTCGATAACCACACACCCAAAGATCTAGGACATTCTCATTTATTTATTTTTTCTCTTTTTTCCGACATAGATTCTTGCTATGAACTTGAAGACCATTAGGGAAGGCTGACAGATTAACACGGAGCCCAGAAACCTTTAGAGGAAGAAGGAACTGAGGTCCCCGTCACCGGCACTGGTCCCAAGGATGCAAACTCTCAGCAGGGACTCCTCTGAACTGACCATGGCTCAGGCACAGATCTGTAATCTACAACTGTCCCCAAGCACCTGGTCCTTCCCCAGGGTACACAGCAGCCTGACAAACAACAGTAAGACGGTCTGATTCTTCTCTTAGGAATAATACTTTTATTTATTTCTTTGAGAATTTTGTAAGCAAGAAAAAAAAACATATTTGCTTTCCTGTCAAACACCCCATTTCTACATGTCGATAACTCATAATAATGTAGATAAGGTAATAGAAAAGTTCCCTGCAAATCAAAGCATCACGGTATCAAGGCTCTAATCATTGGCACATAGTAATAGTAGGAGATAGGTATTTAGTATGGATAGACCATAGAACAGGAAGAAAGACATTGTGCAAGGCAAGGGGAGAAATCGAGGGATAGGTCAAAATAAAGAGTGACTAGACCACAAAGTGATATTTGGATATCACTCGGTAGGTCAATCATTTCCTTTGGAATATATGTATTTTAATTGACTACTGATACTTAAACTGGAAGACAAAGACAACTCAGACAGAAAACAGACATATTATTTTGCTAAATAAATATTTGTAAACAAAAGAAAAAGAAAGAAAGACAAACTAGGGTGAGAGGAATGGGCTGAACAGAGATACCCAGGCCCTGGGTCTATGGTGACAAGGACAGTTCTCACTGAGAACTCTTTCCTCCTCTTTCTCTTTCATCCTAGGAACTGCCAAGGCCCAGGCAAGGACTTCAATAGGTTCAATGTTGGAGGTCCAGCACCACCATGTCTTTTCAGGCCAACCCTTGGTAAGGCCATTCTGGATGGGTAATACTGCTTCTCTCTCTCTCTCTCTCTCTCTCTCTCTCTCTCTCTCTCTCTCTCTCTCTGTGTGTGTGTGTGTGTGTGTGTGTGTGTGTGGAGAGGAGTTAGCAGACTCTCTGTACAGCTTCTCTCCCACAGCCTGCTTTACACAGCTGCTGTGCTGTGTGCTAGTCCCCAGCGCCTAGAGGACATTACATCCTAAGAGGGCTAGTCCGCTGGAAGAGAAAAAGATGTCAGAGTTAGACCCATCATCCTGCTAATTTGGGATTGCACCGCTTGAGGATGAGACCTGGGAACTCTCCTGGGGGATGCGTTGGTTTTCAGTGATTCTGTGCCAGACTGAAGGGTGCTCTCAATACTCCAGGGCATTTTTCAGAGGTGGAGGAGCATCTCCATATTTTTGAGTGGCGTGTAGCACAACACCATAGTTAAGACCATAACTTTGGGGCCAGAATCTAGGTTCAAATACCAGTTGTGCTATTTTTAAACCATAGGTAATTTAGGTTTTCAGAGCCAATGTTTTCTCATATGTAAAACATAAATGGTTCACGTAAGCACCTGTGGCTACCAATGACATTGGGATGTGGTAGCAATAAAATATGACATGCAGAAACCCACACCATTCTATGTAGCAAAAACATGCTATATGCTGATGATGACTATTTTTGTTTTTCTTGAAGAAGGAAGTGTACATGCCATACTAGTAGGTAGGACCAAGAACATTTTCTTCTATCCTGACAGGCTGACCTTTAGAACAGAGACAGCAAACCTCTTCCTTTATCTCCCTTTATCAACAAAATAAAGTTCATTTATCTTTTCTAATGAAAGATAAGATTAAAAAGAGATCAAGAACGTGAGAGAGTTCTCAGTTCTTTGAACAAAGGCCACTTAACTCTGCTGCACCCTAGGCCAGTGAGGGGCCCAGCCTACTTTCTGTTCCCTGCCCTGATCCCTGTAGCCAGCCAGAGGGAACACCCATCAGATTGTAGTTGGAGCAGACAATGATGAAAACAGTGGGGACAGACTGTCCCAGCCATTGACAAGGTGTTCCCTATGGGTATTAGCTTCCTAGGGCAACAGCAAGGATAGCTATGTTGAAGACTGGATAGCCCAACATTGGTTGAACTGCAGGGGCATAGAAAAAGGAAAAGGTTTACCATGAAGGTTGCTTGAGTCTCACGAAGCAGACAGCTCAGCAGGGCACTCGTGCATGCCACAGACCAAGGATGGAAAGGAGCCCACCACAGCAGAGGAGTTTTCCTTGCAGTACAAAGTCATTAGAGGGGTTCATGGATGGTCACTATACATTTTATGAGTATACTTAATCACAGGAGCATGGCTTCTTTTCCTTATTCTTTTCCTTCCTTCCTTCCTTCCTTCCTTCCTTCCTTCCTTCCTTCCTTCCTTTCTTCTTACATTCTGTGCCTTTAAGACTCAGCTGTCAAACAAACCTTAAGTGTTTTAAATAATTGCCTTTTCCAGAGTAATTCGTGCTGTGCTAGACTGTCTATCAACAAATTCAGCAAGACTTCCGTGTTTTGGAAAACTTTCAAATTAGAAGTTTCCTCACTTCATCCAGGGCTTATTTTGACTCTCTCAGCTTAGCTAAGATAACCATGAAAGAAAACAAGCTCATTTGTGGATTGACACGGAGGTAAGGTTTCCATGGAGACCCAAAATGAAACTGATCTTGTTTCCCTTTTTGTGAATTGGCCTGAAAAACAGGAAGGAATCTTCCCAGACTCTCAGAAATTTCTTCCCTTGGGTTGTTTTCTACACTCCTGGTAATTTTCCAGGTGTAGGAAGGCATGGCAGAGGTCATTCCCCTCACAACTACATGGGAGTTGGGCTGGCATTTGAAGACTTATCTGCTAGGCAGAGGCAGAAGAAATAAGGATCTCAAAGGTCATCTCCAGAAGACTTCTCTGACTGTAAGGTACACATGAGTCACCTGCGAGCTTATGACAGTGCAGAATCTGCTCAGTGAGTCTGAGAAGGGACCCAAGCCCGCAATTCTTAGATTTTTGGTTGCAAGTTTAGCTTTTAATGGTTGAGCCATCTCTCCAAACCTTAGCCTGCAATTCTAAGAAGCAGCCTGCTGCCGTGGATCAAGGATCCATTGGGAAGTGAAGTCTCCATTGGGATCCATTGGGCAGAAGTTTGATAAACATAAAAATATACTTGCTTTGTAATTCCTTATCATTGTTTTACTTGATAAAAGTGAATTCGTAATAACTGCCAATTCTGAACCCTGTTATGAATTAGACAATGTTAACACAAGTGGGGGGGGGGGGGACCAGTTTCCTCATCTATAGACAAACACTCACAGAGTCAGGGACAGTGTGACACATACAGCTGGAGAATCTCAGGACTACATCATCAAAGTGTCTTAACATTCTGGGAACACTACACTGGCCATCCTGACTGTAGCTCCTGAACATGGGCCTAAAGCAAAGAACAGAACACCAGAACAGACCCATTGCTTGGCGGGGATGCTGACTTTGGAAGTGAATCTGGGAGTTACCATTAAGGCATCTGTCCCTGGTGACCCTCCAAGGGAAGCTTGTTCACACTAGTGTAGCTTGTTCACACTGGTGCAGCTTGTTCACACTAGTGCAGCTTGTTCACACTGGTGCAGCTTGTTCACACTAGTGTAGCTTGTTCACACTGGTGTAGCTTGGGCAGCTGCTAACAGTTTGGCATGGTTCGCATTCAGACTTTTCTTTCTCCGTCCCATTTAACTGTTTCATCCGGCGTAGGTAAAATAGCATTCGTCTGTAAACCATGTCAAAGCAACTGCTTAAAGTGAAAAGAAAGAGGAGGAGGAGGAGGAGAAGAACCTTTCCAATAGGAAGCGAAATACCTGAAAAAATTAGACTTCAAAAGCTAAATATATTTTAAAACATTTCCATGTTTGGTTATACTCAAAAGCTAAGAAGTTCAATCTCATGAGGGTCCAGTGTGCAGATTTTTATAAAATCTCGAAATTCATCCAGATTCACAAATACACATAAATGCTAGTATAATTTTGCCTTTTAAAAAAATAGTTGGTTTTTATTTTATATGCATTAATATTTGCCTGAATGTACATGCAGTGCCCACAGAGGCCAGAAGAGGGGGTAGGATCCCCTGGGATTAGAGTCACAGCAGCCTGTGAATTATCATGTAGATGCTGAGATTTAAACACAGGTCCCCTGAAAGAGCAGCCAGTATTCTTAACCATGGAGTCATCTTTCTGGTCCTGTAATTTTGCCTTTTTAAAAATAAAAATCTTTAGACGAAGACATTCGGATGCATGCATCACTACTGTAACCTGAAACTGTGACCAGCTGTCATTTTCAGAAGCTGGAAAGAAAAGGCTCGCATGGGACAGCCCTTAGTCTAAAGCTGGCCTTCTCTCAGTTTCGGTATAGCCTATGAAATAAAAACAGCTTTTATGCTATTAACTGATTTTTTTTTATTTTTTTATTTTTTTACAAAAATCTACCCAAAGATATTATGACCTGTTAAAATCTGAAACTCAAGTTTTGGTACCCATAAATGTAGTTCCGTTGGGATGCCAGCCTCACTGATTTGACCATGTGGACTGCTTTTTTTAGCAGTCAAGAAGTTGCACATAGACCAGGGGAATTGTGCCCACCTCCCCACAACATCCCTACATTGCAGTCCCAATGCTACCTTATTTGGGGACAGATCATTAAGTTAAACCAAGGTCACTAATTACATTATGACATATGCTATTTTTTGAATTTTAAATGTCTGCCAAAGGCCCATTTGTTAAACTCTCAGTCTCCAGTCTGAATTAGAGGTTAGTAAAAGAAAGTTAGGCCACCAGGCACTTGCCATGAAAGGGACTTTTGTGACAATGGTCTCTGCTGTTGCTTTGGCTTTCCTACCGTCATGGAGGAAGCAGTTTTGCTCTGTCATGCATTTCCCGCCCTGACATGTTGCCCCTACTGGAAGGCGGAAGAGTCAGCCAAGCATAGACTAAAGCCTCTGGAACCAAAAGTCTCTCCTTCTCAGCTGTCTGCCCCGGGTGCTTTGCCCTGGTGATGGAGCGCTGACGTCACTGGTGTTCTTAGACAAAGGTGGGATTAGGACACTGAAACATCAGAGACAGAGAAGGCAACTGTGTTCTCACCGGGAAGGAAGGCCTAGAACAGCCCATTCCTCAGAGCCCCTAGAACAGCGTTCCTCAACCTTCCTAACGCTGTGACCCTTTAAACAGGGTGCTTTATGCTGTGGTGACTCCAACCATAAACTTACTTCATTGCCATTTTGTAACTGTAATTTTGCTGTTGTTATGAATCGTAATGTAAATATCTGATGTGTTGGATATCTGACCTTCAACCCCTGTGAAAGGATCATTCGACCCAAAGAAGGTCACGACCCACAGGTTGAGAACCACTGCCCTGGGAGGAACCAACCCTTTGGATACCTGGACCTTAAACTTCTCTCCAGACTTGTGACATGGTGAGTTTCTCTTGCTCTGTGACATCAGTTCTCGCAAACTAGTGCCGCTAGCCAAGACCCCACACTTTACTAACAGACCGTTTGAGGGAAGCTTGCCGGCACCTGCTCTCGGACGCTAATCATTCTGGTCAAGTCGGTAAATTTAACAAGAACATGCCTGCTGATCAGCAACAGAGACTTCAGAAACCCTTCCTTTGATGAACCCACCCACCTTCCATTATCTCCCCCCCAACCCACTCGGGAGTTTATTATGTCCACGCGGTAGAAATGGCCCACAAATGGCGCATCTGCCTGGATAAATTGAGTCACCGAGCAAGTCCCGCTCCATGTGCCTTGCTTTGAGTCAGGAAGACCTTGAATTTGCTCCACACTCTCTGTGGATGAAGGGGCCCTGAAAGATGGTTAACGTGCAGTAGCAGAGACTCATAAGCTCATCTCCAGCCTTCCCCACAGCACAGAATGAGTAGAAGGGCACAGGCCCTGGCAGCTTCTTCTAAGAGTCAGGTTTCCAGACACTGTCAGCTCCAAGGGAAGCCTCCCTAGAATCCTGCCCACATTATTATTAACTTTAAAGAGGAGGTGCAGGGGAGGAAACAATAACAAAAGCTGGGATTTATTAAGCAAATTCATGAGGCATGCATGGGACAAACTTTTTACAGGAATAATCCGATTTACAGGTGGTTATAAAAATCCCATAAAATAAAAGGCGTCTGAGTAGTCCATTTGGAATGCTCTGATCAAATGACCGATATCCAAACAAGCTATGCACTCCTGTGGAACTGGAAAATGGAAGAAACAGGGCTAAAAAACCACACTCTTGGCTCTGAAACTTGACCTCCGACTCAGATACCATCACTATGACACTAACTATATGTAAATGACAAACAAACAGAAAACAGGACCTTGCTGGAGCATCTTCCCAAATTTTAGCCACCGGAAGAACCGGCTGGCTCTACCATTTTATCTCTTCATGTAGCCTGTCTGTTTAATCTGATACATTGGTAAGCCAGGGCCTCACTGCTATGGGAGAGACTGCCCTCCTGGAGCTGCCTAAGTCTTAGAGATACCCAACAGCTTACACACTAGCGTGCCCTCCACCTGCAGGCCAGTGGCTCACTTCATTAAGTTTATACTGAAGCCACTGTTTTCCTGTCCTGCATCCCCCAAAGCCATACACAAAGCAGTTAGGGACAGGCCCTGTGCTCTGGACGGAGCCTCCTGGAATTAGTCGAACTAGTCAGTCCTCAACTTGCTTCTGGCCTAGCCTACTCTTATCCCAGAAAAATAATAGTGGCTTCAGCCCAAGGCTTCCCCTTGCTTCTTCTGCCTCCCAGCCGCCGCTCATACACTCTGTGTGATCTGGTGGGGTGTGTGTGCCCCCCACTTTAGGACTGTGAGTGATATATCATTTCGTCAACTGGTAGTTATCTCCTGATCTGCTGGCCCTTTTATATCTGACAACAATGGAACCATGACTTGAAGCCACTCTCGTAGTCTCTCTGTTCCTAAACTGCGGAGTACAGAGGCCTCAGCCAACCAAACAGCACTGCACGGGACAATTTCTACCAACAGAAATGCTCAAAGATGAGCTCCCTCCCGTCCCAAGCTACTTAGAACCAGGACTTCATTACCCCTTTTGGTATTTTCCTCCATCCCAAGACCAAATATTCTGCCATCAAAATACCCCCACCCTCACCCCAAGCTCCCTTTAGATCCCAGCATTCCTGGGAAGCAAAAACAGGGACAAGGGACTCCCCTGTTGAGTATCTTGCACAGAATTATTTCTCAATATGGCAGTAGGATAGTGGACTTCGAACGAGCTGAGCCAGCTGACCGCCTCTCTGGCAGAAATGCCATCTCCCATGCCAGTGCATGGCTGCGGTGAAGTCTGGCAGTGCCCTCTCCAGGTGCCAGTTGAAGACACGGAGTCCAGGGCTTTCTGCCAAAGACCTCAGGCCCTGACCAGAATCCCTGTGGACATTTGTGCACTGGGATGCACTCCGGCTTCTGGGCAAAGGCAATGATCTACTAGCCACACCAAAAGGTACTGCCTGAAAGAAGTCCTGGATCACCACCAGCCGCGAGACTTGGGCAGCTTTCTATGAAAAGGCAGGCGTGGAAATGCTGCCTTGCTGTGCAGTGGGACGAAAGACGCTAGAAAAGCCAGACAGGACCGGCCACAGCTTGTCAAACCCATTCATCCGGCCAGGAGTTGTGATTAGTGACCTTCTGTACTTGCGTGGCCAGCACAATTTCATTCATGCTTTCTTCTGAGGCCGAGTAAATAAGATCCGGCAAGATTTGATGATGTGTGGACATAGACCGCATGGGTTTAACCAATGGCTGGTTAACAGCCTGTGTGCTTTGGACACGGCCATGCTGAGGCTCAGCGCAAACTGGCTGGTGATAGTTGACATTGTATCTGAATTTTAGAAAATCAGTTGAGCAGCAGAAGGATCAGATCTTAAATGTTATATTTCCTTATATTCATTTAAAAGTTAGCTTTGTTTTTGTTTTGAACTATGTGTATCAAGTAAAAATGGGACAATTCATTAGGATTTCTAAACCTTAAGCTAAACCCAACCTGAGTCCAAGGTCCAGGTACAATACTCTACTCCTCTGTGATCTTTTCTTAAGGCCACTAGGTTTTCTGGACAGGTTGTCAGCTTGAGAGTCTGTCCTGAGCTTTGGAAAGAGAGCCTCTTCTGTTTCTGCTACTCTATCTGAGATGTAAGATGGGCTCTGTCACAGGATTGGCATGAGGGATAAGCATAAGCGGTGTCTGTTTCTCACAGGTTCTGGGCAGGGGACAGTGTGGGTGGACAGGCTCGTCATACACTCGGTACCTTGAAGAGAGTTCTGATCACAAAGGCTGGTTGAGGAAAGAGTCCATTGTCATCAAAACTCTAAACAGCTCTCGTGTGTGACACCCTGGAAAACGTCAGCCGAACTCTCAGTCTGAAGGAGGTTTTCACAGAGACTCGCAGCTCCAGAGAAATAACACAGAAATGGATGGGTTGGAGTCTGGATATCACATTAAGGCCAGAAAAAGAAGGACTGTGGGTCTGGTGTTTTTTGTTTGTTTGTTTTTAAATTGCTTTTGTTTGGGGTTTTGGTTTTCCTCAGGACATAATTCAGCTAAACCAATAGAAACGTAAGAAAGCCTGTAAAGCAGGGCTGGGGACATGACTCTGTAGGATAAGCACTTGCTGGGCCAACTCAAGAACCTAAGTTCAGATCTCCATTGCCCACCACCCACATCAACTATACACACTTGTATGGGGCAGGTGTGTGCGCATGCGCACACACGCACACACGGTGATGGGGGAGGGAAGGGGAGGAGGAAGGGAGGAACAAGACAGTAACAAAAACAATAGAACCTAGATAACTTTTTCTTTGTTGAAGATTAATTCTCCAAGTGGCAGATTTGTGAAAGACAGTTTCTTTCTGCACCACTAGAGGGAAATCTAACCCACCCACTAGAACATGACCCCTCTCTCTCTCTCTCTCTCTCTCTCTCTCTCTCTCTCTCTCTCTCTCTCTCTCTCTCTCAACAGTATTGGCATTTTAAGGCTGAAAAATACTTTGAGACATTATCTTAATCAATCCTCTGCATTCTTGGCCATATTTTAAAATTATTATTTGAATCTCCATGGTTATAGAGACTTCAGAAACGCACAAACCAGCCGTCCTAGTGGGGCTAGTGGGAACATCACTATTGGGAACGGAGCCTGACAGCAGATCTGAATCTCCCCTCCTTCAGCTTGAGTTTATTTCCTCAAATTACATATTCATTAGCTATGGCGAACAGCTGGTCATCTTTCAGCACCTCACATTATTTTTAAATTTCTGAAGATGCCTGGGTCATCCATCTCTTCCACGGAAATGAGCCAGCTCCTTAACTCAGCCATGGCGTTTATAGCCCAACTCTCCCGCCACGTCCTCCTTCTCTAAACTCAACCGGGCTCGCTTCCCCCTCCAGTTCTGTGCCCCATCACAGCAACACCTACTAAACTCTGCAGAGAAAAGGAAAATAAAGTATTTCCTCACGGATTTCTTCAGACCTGTGGCTGTTAAGACATTCCTATACAGATTTTCTTTCTAAATAACAAAATGGTAAAAACTATATGTTTATAGTATGACTCAAAAATCATGCTCACTTTCCCTCACGGACGTATAAATACGCATGCACACACGTTCATAGCCACACATGTTTTCATTGTATCATGAAAACGAACTGGCTAAGGAATGCCTATGTGTGTCACTTTGAAGTCTGTTATGTTTCTGACTCTCACATCATAAATACTTCAATTTATAATTCAGTTTTTAATTCTGTTCTTCAAGCCTTTGACTAATAATTCCAGGCTCTTTATTAGCTATAAAACACAACCAGCATGTATTGAGAATATTATCCTTTCAATAAGGTTGTAAAAAGCTACTCATTGCTAATAAAAGCAACGGGGAGAAAACTTGACATTTCCCTGTGTTTGTATGTCTGAAATGGTGAAACCCATATTTGGTTTTTGTTCCCCGTTCCTGGCATAGAGCTAATTCTATTGGGACTTCCTGGGTAATGAGTGTCTGTGTTGATTATATTCCAGCCACACCCAAATTCATACTCACAAGGTGTCTTCAGGCTGGGCACTGCCTGACAAGGACACACCCACATGGTTAGACAGTTTGAACTTGTGGTGACTCCCTGACCCCTATGGGTAAGTTCAACAACCAAGGACAATGGCTTTATCAATCAATCAAGTTAAAGTAATGAAGCTTTCATTAAATCCCCTAAAGAGGGCTGGGAGAACTTGTGGGAAGGTGAGCACAGAGAAACATGGTGTGGGAGGTGGAAGTGGAGGATGTTGAAAGGGTACAGAAGCTCCTCACCCATCCCCATCCCTGGCCCTGCCTATTTCTTCCTTGGCCATGCTTGAGCTGTACCTTCTAGAACAAACCAGTAACAGTCACGTGGAGCCCTTTCCTGAGGTCAGGCAAAATGGAATTGAATTTTACTGAGCTCTTGGGACCCCGTTGATGCTAGAAGCTCAAAGAATTGATAAATGTGGAAAGACGAACCTCTTAACTACTGAGCCATCCTTCCAGGCCCCGAAGGCAGATCTTTTAATAAAATCGAAGTAAACTTCCAGACACAGCATTGAACTCAAGCTCAGGTGAGGAGTCCTCGCCCCTTTGGAATTAACCATTAGTCTGATTGGGAGTCTTTCTTCAAACAAAACCAATCTGGAAATGACCTGTTCCATTGATCCGAACAACTCCTTATCTCAGTTTTCTCTTTTGCAAAACTAGATGATAATCCCACTGTGGGGGCAATGAAACGGGGGTGGGGGGGCAATAGTGTACATAAAGTATCTAGAATCGAGCCGGGTACACTGCAGATAACATTAAACATCAACACTGTGAGCATCTTGACACCTACATCAGGCCAACTGAACCTTTTCATTCCTGCCCTCTTCCTCAGAAGGCCCCATCTGAAAAGCCATACAGTTCTAGACCAGGATGGAAATATATAGCTGGAGTAACCACATGGCCAGCTAAGAGGTGCCAATCACACTGTAAGGATTAATAGATACCTTCACTCTCAAAAGTGCCCTGGCCTGTCCAGTCTCTCCATAGACAACAAAGGGTCTCTATAGTGTCTATTTCTGAACTATAAATGATTATAAGAACTCAGAACGAAATGGCCGGTGGGTTTGAGTGATGCATGAATTAAACATAAAAAGACTCCTGGCATTTTAGTCACTCATCTGCTAGATGCAACTCATCAAAAACACATCAGTTCATCAGTTTCAAGAGTATTGGCTCCTTCCCAAGACTGGAGTAGGCTGGGGTGTGGTTACATCTTGATTAGTCCCAAGCTGACCTTCATTCTCTGATAATCGAGCCCTTAATAAAACTTTCTTCCTTTTCCCTTTGGCTGTATTTTGTGCATTAGCTACTCCACCCATGTGCTCCTATGGACAGGGAGTGTCCAAAGTGAACACAATGAACACAACATTAATTTGGCAACCCTGCGGAGAAGCGGGATGGAAAGAATATGGAAACAACCTTACTGTGACCTGTAGGTAGCTATTAAATTCACAGGCAACTCTTCACAAGTTGCCTGTGAGTTTAATCCATCTCGGTTTGACCCTTTTTACAAATTTCCATCAGCTGGCTTGAGAGCTCACTGGGGTCCTGGTTGCCAGTAAAATAAAAGTAACAGTGTTTGAAAAAACGGTGTGAATTCTCAGCATCTGCCTTTGGGAAGGAAAGCTTCCTTTTCTCAAATGCCAGGGATCATGGCTGGGCAAACACCTTCCCTCCTGCGGCCTTCCCTATGTCCTTCCTCCACTCACCACCAATTCATTGGTAAGTATGGAGAGAATATTTTAAAAAGAGTTTGTGTTGGTGAAGTGGTTACTTGACATCAACTTAAACCCAACGGCACGATCACCTCTGCGAAAGGGCACAGCCCAGACTCTAGCTATAGGGGTTGAGAGTAGCAAGTGAGTACGCAGGTGTCCTGGTTGGATCTCTAGGCTAATTTGAACACTTCCTCCTTGACGTAACAAGTCTAATGTTTAAAGCTGCCTTCCTTGTGTGCTTTAAATGTCTGAGGAAGACACAATCCGTGTGCAAAGTAAAATAGACAGATATCAGTGTGGTATTTGAAGGGAACTCTGTCCTCATGCAAAATAACTAGAATATGGGGGACTACAGCATTGGGGTGGGTAAAACATACAAAATTACTTAATAGAGCTGTAGATTAGAGAGTACTGTAACAGGTGTCTGTGTGTGTTTGTTTGTGTATGTGTGTGTGCGCATGTGCACGTGCACATATGCATGAGGGTGTTCTCTGCAATCTAGGTGAGGTGGCAAAACCAAAGAACAATCTAAGGAAGTACAAACCAGCCCTTCCCTGTTAGGCCGCTTGTCAGTACTGACCCTTAGCTTGAATGTCACATCTTTATCTCTGTTAATGGCTAACCAAAGCTTCATCCTCTCAGGGCTCTCAGGAGCAAAAACCAGTTTGTGGCAGAAAGCAGCATTGCCTAAAACCTCCAGTGGAAGGGCCAAAATGGAGCTGAGCAGTGATTAATGTGGGTAAGCCGCCTATGCCTCCCTCCCCTCTCCCTGCTCCCCCTCCTTTTTCTTCTCTCCCCCTCCCTTCCCTTTTCCTTATGGGGCTAGAATTCTTCGAAATTTGGACTATTATATCATGTTCGTAATGTATTATGCAATAGGGCTTCAGTTAGTGAGTCAAAGATATGTGCTATTTTAACCAGAAACTCTATTTTTGATACAGAACTTTTAGCTAGATCCTATGCTAAGATAAATGTTCTGGGCCTCATCTAGTCGGGTTGAGGGAGGGACTTACTTGTATTAGAGAAGGAGAAAATGACCGTGATCCTAAGAGAAACACTAAGGAAGGGACTCCTCAGCCATTCAAACTGGCAAGCTAGTACACAAACAGGGTGGAAAAAAATGCAGTAATAGGGACTAAAACAAGCACTCTTTATGACTTATTTACCCACACAACCGTCTAAAAGCAGGCCCGTGGAGAACTTTTGGCTTCAAGGAAAAGCATTTCCAAAAGTCCCATTTGCTTTCATGGACCACCTTGGAGACACATTTGTATACAGAAGGCCTAATGGCCCGGATGAAGTCCAGCAAAGGAGGTAAATAAAAATAAGCAAGTGTCTTAACCACTTGTCCTGTGCAAATAGGGAAAAGAATGCTAAGAAAAAAACAGTCTCAAGTCAGAGTGACTCAGAGCTGGGGAGGCCAGGAATATCATTCCTCGCCTACCGCGGAGCTCCTGCCTTTCATCTCGGGTCTCAACATGAGTCTTAGAAGACAGTTTTATTCGGAAAGAGAATGTAAGTCTCCATCTAGTTCTTGCAGGGTTTGGTCCTATCTCGGGTGAAATGTCCTCACTAACAAGTTATTTTGGCAGAGCTTGGCCCATCTCTGCATGGAAAGCTCATAATCCTGAGAGGAAGGGCCAGGACTTGGTCATGGACTCTGTCTACTCATGCCCTGGTGATCCTGAGAATGACCCTCAGGCCTCTCTTTCCCCACGTGGGATGATCTTGTTCTCACAGACCTTTGAGTTATGGAAGCAGGTAGAAGAAGCCACATCATGGTGATGACCAAGTTCATTGAGAGTCTCCAGAGAAAAACAGCAATGAAGAAACTGTACTATTGACAGACCCAGGGGGTTGTCCCAGGAGACAGTACAGAGCTGGAAACACTGAATAGCTGTCCAGTGAGAAACAGCCTGGATTTCTGCTCATCCTCTTTCCCCAAAAGATGCTTAGCTAATGTTTCAGCCCAGGGAAGCACCCACAAAACCAAAACAAAGGAAAGTCACAAGAACACCTGAGAGTATAGCGTGAGGCACCCAACGGAGTGGGTTCTTTTCTGTCTACTCTGTCTGTCTGCCTGCCGTGTTAGTGAATACAGAGGTACAGTGGTTTAGGGCTAAAACATTTGTGAGTACTTCCTCAGTCTGGCAGAGGAAGCCCAGAGTGGTATTTGTATGGTTACCTCAATGCCATGGTTCAATTCAGGGTTTTCCTAATCCCTAAAGGTTAATAATTTACACGAGCACAATCAAGGGTCTAAGAAATTTGTCTTTCTTATGTGTACAATATTTCTTTTCTTATTAGAACCTACGTTAAGCCACAGGACATGGAGGAGAGGTGAGTTATCTGGGTATCAGCCTAGCCCGAATCATCCTGGACCCTGGAGAGAAGTTCTGCTTCAAACACTTCAAGGAGTGAATTAAAATTGTTGGAGGTCACACACAACTCGCCTCCCACTGAAGTTCTAACTATCTCTTTCCGTCAGAGGCCCGTGGGAGCTCTAAGGGAAAACACGCAATGCCAGGAGCAGAGCTCTGATGGTGTACCTGTGGTTCCTGATCGTGACCGCTGGGATCCCTCTCGTAGCTCTCCGCATACAGCCTGATGGTGGCCCGCACACCACTGGAGGAACTGAGCCGGAATATGAGCCGCGATGCATCCGAGAAAATGATCCTCAGGCCCTGCGACCAAGAACATCCCAAATGGCTCAGTGAGCAAGAGAATACACAGGCAGTGATAATCAATGCATGTTGCAGAAATCAGAACAGTCCCATACACCAGAGCCCATCAGGGCCAAGCCAGTCTCTAGTTGGCTCTGGATGTTCACACTCGAGCGCAACACTGCGGTAAACCCAAAAGCTACTTGAGGTTACCCATTTGTTTCTTGATTCTATGTCTGCTGCTTTGTGGCTAATGTGGGCAGATGTGGGCAGATGTTGAAGAGCCAAACTATGACCACATGCTCAGACTTTGTTGGTCTAGAGATATGAGAATTGGAAAAAACAGTGCATACAACAGAAATAGGATAGCATTCAATAAATGTTCTCAAATCTATGGTGTAATCCTTATAAATCTGAACATAACAGTCATTAAGCAAATTATCTATTGCAATAAGAAATATCTGCTCCATCCTGCCCCACCCTACTCCTTTTTTTTTCAGACTAAGTCTTGCCATGTCACCCAAGCTGACTCTGAACTCAAACTCAAGACCCTGTTCCCACCTTACAAGAGCTGGTATCACATGTGTGCACCAACATGCTAAGTAACCGCCCTTGTTTTAAGGCTCAGGTAACCCCCGTATAATTTTAAGCTTAGATTTACCCCTTCCCCATTATCACAGTAGTAGAACTCCATGACGAAATGATCAGGGTTACCCCGTCATCCAGGCTGTGAGTGTTGCTGAGAACATCCTCACCATCTTAGATGACCATTTCTTTCTCACCTAGAAATGCTGGGCACCAGCTTGGGGTCAGGACAGAGCTGGGGCCAGGCGAATTAAGTGCTACCCAATGTTAAATTTGTTTTTAGCTGAGAACATCCCTGTTTTATGTATTGTTTCTCTTTAGTGACAGGAATAGTCAAAATATGACCAGACTTTTATGACCACAAGAACGTATTTGGACTTCTGATGGAAATACATTGTAGGGTAGCTAACAAAGTCTGATCAGTAAAGGATTAGAGATACCAGAGGGAGAAAAAAGAAGCCACAGAGTGTCTACCAGTCACTGTTTCATAAATAGTAGGTGTCTTGGGTGACCTCAGTGACAGACATTTTCCCTACGAAGTTATCATGGAAATGTCCCCGGCCTCCAGTCCTGCTGGCTATGAAGCAACCGTCACTAAAATCACACCGTTCCTGCTATGTGAATCTGAATGCCAGTTCCTTACCCCATCCCAGACCTGACCACGTCTGATACAGGAGGGTGTCTGATCCCATCTGCATGGCTGTTTACTTTTTAAAGGTTTGTCCCAATTCCCAAACACAAAGCTTTTGCTTCTTTTAGAATTATTCAACACAAAGCAATGGGAATCAGCTCCCTTACTGGAAACCAACTACCTGTTTTTCACTGGGTTAACATATGAAAGTGGCCTATGGAGTAAAGCACTGGGCTATGTCCTAGGTATATGAAGGTAAAGGTGCAATGTTTGTCCTTCATCAACCTGGAGTCACCTCTTACAACCATCCGAAACTCATTTCTTAGCTAGCTACCTTTCGCCGCCAGAGAGCTGAACAGTCAACAAATCACAAACAGAGCAAACAAACTGAACGGTGAACATGGAGCTAAAGAATGCATTTCCTACGGTCCAGAAAACGCCTGCTGCAAACGATGTTCACACCAATCACAGGCCACTGGTTGTACTGCATGCTACACAGAGAGGACCATTAGCAATTAGCAGGAAGGAGGAGAGTTGGACTTGAAGAGGTGGTATCGGAGTGAATGGTACCCATCGGCCTACTGAGAATAGCTTACCATCATCTCTCTTTCCTAGAACGCCAACCCTAAGAGCTTAATTGAGAATCAACATTGTTTGAGAAGCCATTACAGACGAACAACATCAGAGTTCTCTGATGCATGCCTTTCCAGACCCTCTCCACCTCCACGCTGCAATTCTACATCCATGTGGAAGGTCAATGTCCATTGTTGACTTCATTTAGAATTACCTAGGAGACACACTTCTGAGTGTGCATCTGTAAGAGTGGTTCCAGAGATGATTCTCTGAGGAGGAAAGAGCCACTCTACATGTGTGTGTGGGAGGGGGGGGCACCATCCTATGGCTTTGATCCCAACTAGTTAAAATGCAAAAGGAGGAAGACATTGGAGCAGCATCATTCCCCAGCAAGTAGCCTTGCATGCCTGTTGCCATGCTTTCTCTACTACGATGGACTGTATCTATAGCAACTGCACTACAAAATTAATCCTCCCCCTCTTCAGTCATTTCTTCTCAGGTCTTTGGTCTCGGGGACAAGAAACAGAACTAATATATCACGGCTGATGAGGACCACTAGTACGTGTGAAGAGTTGGATTGGATTTCTCTGAGATCTGCATGTTCCTTCAGTGAGCATAACAACTTTGCAGTCCATACATGAGCCATGTTCTTTCCAGCATGAATCATTATTACTATGAATAAAACAGTAAGGCCAAAGTCACTATCAAACCAGAACTTTCCAAGCTTATCATTCCTTAATTTCACCGAAAGAACAATAATAATATCCTTTCCCTTTGTTTTTGTTTTTGTGAGTTTTAGGTAGTTTTAGAGGTTGGCAATAGACTAAGTTACCTACAGGTGAAATTTTTCAGGCCCTCTGTTTTTGTTTGTTTGTTTGTTTGTTTGTTTGTTTTTAACTCAAGTTTTATTAGGACACTGAATTATGCCTATTTAGTTAGGGATTGCCTATAGCTATTTTTGCACTATAGTTTTAGAGATTAATAATCATGGCAGAGATCATCTAGTGCATAAGACCTAAAATATTTATTATATAGTTCTCTACAAGAGTGTTTGTTGGCCTTGGGTATAAACAATTACATCATGCGCAGCCTGGAATATTTACCCTTTAACCTAATAGTAGAAAACAGAAAATGTGGCTAGCGCCATATCAAAATTTCAATAAGGAGAAATGACGATGATGAAGATTATCATCACGAGATTCAACCTCTTCATTTCCCAGGGGTTCCAGTTCCAGCTATAGATGTATCTGGACTGTATTTGACCCGAATCTGTAGACTTCTGACCACCTATTCCTGCCGTAAGTAGATTTAAAGAATGGAACTTTTAGTTTGCCATTCTTGCTCTTAGTGCACGCTGCTGCACCACACTGTCTTCTACTGACCACGTTCCCAGTCCTGTAGGAATACTGTCAAAGATGGTATGAAGCTAGAAGAGAGGCATTCTCTCACAAGCCAAGTGTTTTGAAAGCCTTTCCTTCCCGGAGGAACTGGTCGTCTTTTGCTTTCTGACAATAAACACTTTGTAACTAACCATATTTCCCTTCTCAATATGGCTGCCAGGACACTTAACATTCAACTTGAAGCTGAGTCCAAGTGGATCTCCATGACTCGTGAAGCTGTGAGTTTTTCTTCTCCTGTCCTTGGCGCTCTAATTTATACATTCTCCAGCCTCGATTTCTGTTTCCTATTTACATTCTAACAGTTTCATTATGTGTTTCTGCTGCCATAAATCCTCTCGGCACAGACAAGGCCCAGAGCAAATGGATGAAACAAGTTCCCATGGCAACTTGACACTGAAGTGTCTGATCCACTGTGTTTTGTCTTTAGGTCATTCATTGGCTCGGAGAGGAAGAGCCGCACACACCTTGTTCCACCTCCACTTTAGCTGCAGAGCCAGGACAACGCCAGGCACAGAGTAACTAGAAACACTAGTTAGTTAATGTCACTGCATGCTTATCACCTGGAGTGGGCGATGCTAGGGACCTCACCAGGCAGTCCCAGGAGGATCTTGGGCCCTTTAGCTAAAGAAAAACAAAAGCATGCACTTTGGGGTGAACTGTGGCTTTCTGGCTGCACAATTGTGAGGAGACGGCAAACTTTGCTGCACACTGGAATCAGCTGGAAAGGGAACTGTCCATACAAGACAACAGGGCCAGGCCCTTGGTCCAGACAGGGTGACTGAATTTGTATGGGGAGTCCCTTGGGCACTGGGATTTAGTGGCTCTCTCTGGGTGAACTGGATGTTGCTGACGATCAGGGCCACTGCAACTGTATTTTCAGTGAGTCCCCTTCCTCATGCTGCAGATGGCTGGATTGTGCTACGTGTTAGTTTTCAGATTTTAGCACAATATTCTAAGGACGTCCCAGAATAATCATGAAGGAATCTATGACTCCTCTGTAAGTTTCGTAGCTAGAACATCGGAATGGCACAGCCGTGATAAACGGCAAACAGGCATAGGAGAGCGCGCTTGTCTCCTTTAGCAGATAGGGTAAATTATGGGGCTCGGTGGTACAAGAGTTGTTGCCTTAAACCTGCCTGCAGTGCCCACCTCAGTGCTGAAAGCAGAGCTGCACCCACCCTAGATCTGTTGCAATAGCAACTGTTGCAATATCACCTACAGCATAGAGCTCTTTCCTCACAAATCCAGACACCACCATAGCCTGCCTTCCTTCCTTCCTTCCTTCCTTCCTTCCTTCCTTCCTTCCTTCCTTCCTTCTTTCTTCCCTTCCTTCTTTCTTTTTTTCCTTCTTTTCTCTCAAATCCAGATTTACCCCCTCTTTGATTTACTGTGCACAGACAGTTTGGAGATGGTTCAGGAACAGCAACCAGATACACCCAGGCTAGAATTCTGGCTCGGCCACTCACTCAAGCTGGTGGTCTTGAGTAAGTCCTTTAAGCTCTCTAAGCCTTAGTTTCCTAACTTGGATGAAAAAGAGAACAGCCTTGGTTATAGGATGGCTGGGAGCATCCTTTTAAAAACAGTGTGAAAAGGGCTTTGGAAAGTATCATTCATCAAAAAAGACTTGTGGTCCTTCTTATGTTAAAGTTGAATGATTCTGAACATGATTTCCAAATAAAGCCTTCATGCTGGTACATTATGATGCAATAGTGCATGCTTATTTATCTCTTATTATATTTTCTTAATATTGTAGGTGTGGTGGTGGGGGTAG